TTCTTAAAAAATGCCTAAACTTGTGGTTTATTCAAAATATGTAGTCGTAAAAATTAAAAAAAAAATGTAAAGGAATAAAAATTGATATAAGTAGCTAACATTGAAAAATAAATAATTTTCCTCTTCGCCATTTTTCGAAATTTTAAGGAATAAGGCCATTTTCTCCATTTTTTTTCTCAAAAAAAAGTGCGAAATTTGACAGATTAAAAAATTACGTGATTGTTTACATGGGATTGAGATTTCAAAAATCGATTGATAATAAATTTTCACATATGTGTATATGTTTTACTGGTGTTACACCGTAGTAAATGCAAATTTTAAGGGAACTATTTCATATAAACTTTTTCGATTGAAGCACTCACGACAGGTTACACGACATTTAATGCTGAACTAATAGACCAGGCGGTATCTGTTTTGGTTTGGGTGAATCGTATATCCACGGAGATTTTTGGCTTTTTGGCTTTCAAATATCACTAGAAATGAAAATTTTTCTATGCGCATAAAAAAAAACGTGGGCTTAACTTTTGACGGCACAATATGTTAAAAAAATTGGAAAAATGTCATATTTTTCTTCCTATTTAATTATGTATCTTTTTAAGAGTTGATTTTAGGCGAAAATGGAAAAGGAAAAAAATGTTTGTAATTAAATTTTTTACAATACATGACTGGTTACAAATCGAATGAATCATGATTATTATGGTAAAAATCGAAAAAATCACAAAAATGGGGTTAAAAAACAATACTTTTTAGGGAATTTTTTTGGTGTATTTAAATTGGGTGTAGGACCTTTATACTTGGCTCAAGAAAACTTCATGTTATGTAGAATCATCACACCAAATTTCATCAAAATCGGTTCGATAGATTTTGCATAATAATTTTGCAATCCAGATTAAAAAAAAATTGCAAATTTTCAAAATTTTGCACAGCAAAAACCAAGGCCCTTAGATACTTGAAAATTTAATCACATATAGAAGGGCTCTCAAGCTTTCAAACTTTTTTTGAAAAATTCGAATCCGTCAATTAGGAGAGCTCTGGCGCTTGTTTAAACATTGGTCGAATTTTTGTACTTATAAACAATTAGAACTTTGTGAATATTCAATCAAATCAAATTTTTTAAAGCAGGTTTTAAAAGTTCTTGGAAAGACGCTTCTTTAAAAAAAAACAGATCGATTGATCAATTAGTTACGTAGTTATAGACGATTCAATTTCGAGCAGGCCGAAGCGGCCGCGCTCTCTGCTTCCCCCACCACCACCACCCGTACGATTTTATTGAATTTCTCGCTTGCATAAATAACTTTAAACACGTTTTAAAGTAGGTTGCCAATGAAGAAAAGTATTGTAATCTTAGACCTGGTAAGTACTCGGAATACCAAAGGTATTTTTCGAAAAATTAGCCCGGATGTCCCAGTACATTTAGTGTAAATGACGGCTATAACTACGTAACTAATTGATCAATCGATCTGTTTTTTTTTAAAAAAGCGTCTTTCCAAGAACTTTTAAAACCTGCTTTAAAAAATTTGATTTGATTGAATATTCACAAAGTTCTAATTGTTTATAAGTACAAAAATTCGACCAATGTTTAAACAAGCGCCAGAGCTCTCCTAATTGACGGATTCGAATTTTTCAAAAAAAGTTTGAAAGCCTGAGAGCCCTTCTATATGTGATTAAATTTTCAAGTATCTAAGGGCCTTGGTTTTTGCTGTGCAAAATTTTGAAAATTTGCAATTTTTTTTTAATCTGGATTGCAAAATTATTATGCAAAATCTATCGAACCGATTTTGATGAAATTTGGTGTGATGATTCTACATAACATGAAGTTTTCTTGAGCCAAGTATAAAGGTCCTACACCCAATTTAAATACACCAAAAAAATTCCCTAAAAAGTATTGTTTTTTAACCCCATTTTTGTGATTTTTTCGATTTTTACCATAATAATCATGATTCATTCGATTTGTAACCAGTCATGTATTGTAAAAAATTTAATTACAAACATTTTTTTCCTCTTCCATTTTCGCCTAAAATCAACTCTTAAAAAGATACATAATTAAATAGGAAGAAAAATATGAAATTTTTTCAATTTTTTTAACATATTGTGCCGCCAAAAGTTAAGCCCACGTTTTTTTTATGCGCATAGAAAAATTTTCATTTCTAGTGATATTTGAAAGCCAAAAAGCCAAACATCTCCGTGGATATACGATTCACCCAAATATGGCTATTTGAAACAGATACCGTCTGGACTATAAGATGTTAGTCTTTCCCGATTCTTTATAAGGGGGTCTAATAATTTACACCTATTTCTCTAGTAAAATATTTCCATCTCTACTAAAATTTCGCTAATTTGCATGAAGTTAAAAAACCGTCCTGTATATAAAATACAAAATAAACTCAATAGAACTTCGCAAAGTTATGAGATTGGATCACAGAATTCATTAATGCTTTACCTACATTTGTGTAACCCAAAAGTAACACTACTCAACTTACAACTATTGAATGCTATGGAAACACGAATTGTCAAATCAATGCTCATAAAAAATCAGAGTTATTATTTTTTTAATTAATATTTTCCTGTGATTGTATTCGGTTAGCGTTTTTTCAAACTCTGTACACTTATTTTTGATCTTTATGACATTCTTATCGAAAATTATTAGAAATAATGGTTTTGTTTACATTTTTCCCTCGATTTTGTTTTTGCAAAAAAACTTGCTCGTGTATTTAATATCTTCCAGCATCGCTGTCGGGGTTTATTCAAGTAAAGAAGAAAAAACTTGACATTTATCAAATAAATTGTACCTGAAATAGTACAGATGTGTTTAGAATGTAATTTTAAACCAAAATAAGCAAAAAAGTGTAGGGCCAACTAACACAGACAGTAACAAATACTGAAATTATTCATTGCGACTTGTAGTTAGGATTCGCACAGAGAATAAGACTATAAATGCCTTACGACGAGAAAATAATACATCAATCGGTTTTATCACCAGAACGTCAAAATTATTTTAAATTTGTCAGATGGAGTAAGTAGCATTATAGACCGACTCAAAATCATACAAACTGTTGCTTAGCATAAAAATTGCATTTAGTTACTTATACTTAAGAGTTTATGTTAAATTGTAGCTATAACTATGAATTCCACTAAATAGCAATTTTCTCAATAGGGTGAAAAAATAACATTAATTGTGACTCAACCGGATGATTGTAAAAGCTATTTTATACAAAACAATTTATTGAACAATAAATTGGACAAGTTGACCTTCAATTTGTTTTGTGATGTGTAAAACAGAAATTGGAGTACAATTTATTTTCAACATGTAATAATTTATTGGTCAATTTTAGGGATATCTAGTTACATCTTGTATTTTTTTTAAATGCCAACCGAATTATGATGATTTGAATTTGAGAGCTGATGAACAATGGAGTTCGAGGTGGCATCAATGAAATTGGCCAATAAATGTTGTAAATGTTGAATTTATAAAGCGGTTATCAATAAATTGTGAAATTAATTAATTTGTTGAAAAATAAATTGTCAATTTATTGTTCAATAAATTGTTGTGTAAAACAGCTTTAATGCAATTTTAAAATTAGTAACACATTGCAAACTATGTTGGTAATCTATACTGTAGGAGAGCACATTAAAGTAACATAACACTAAACGAATAATATGTTACTATTACTTTCAAGTAATGCAATTTCTAACATTACTGTCTTTTTGTTGACAATTATTGAAAAAATAAATTAAACGATTTTTAATGTTTTCACGAATTTTATAGCAAATATAGTTTGTTCAATCGATAATAAAAATTGAAGTAGTGGCATTCACTTCTAATTTTTTATTGTTTTGACAATTATTTTATTTTCCGAAATCTGAAAATTATAAACTTACATTCAAGACAGACACATGCTATTGCAAAATTAAAACATGAGTTAATTTTATTTACGAAAATGGAATGAATATAGCGCTTTGATCAGTTTGAGCTTTAAGTAGATAGCATTAAATTATTATTAGAAAATAAATACATATTGTTGTCTACTTTAAAACATTTACTATTTTGTGGAAGAAATTGTTCATTAAATTAATCCATTTATTGAATTCTTATAAAGGGTGTCCCAAAAATAACGCACAATTTGAATTGTGCGCCATTTTCATCCCGAAGAGTTGGCAGCATTGTGTAATTTCACAATGTTGTATTAAACATTAATGATGTTAGACAAAATGGAGCGCAATATGACGGATGAGAGAGAAGAGATTATGAAAGTTCATTTAAAAATGCCCCAAATTCCACAGTTTTGTTTGTTCAGAAACTCACCAAGTTGGAAATGCTCCTAGTCATTAACAAATTACTGTCAGTGGCGGTCGTCTGGTTTCGATTCGTGGGTTAGCAGAATCGTGAATGTATGCAGATGCAGATTTTTTGTTAAAATCCGCTGCATTGTGCTTTTTGAAATGTTTAGTTGAAGTGATCGAAGGTGTATTGAGGTTACAGGAATCTCGGTCTCACTATTACTCACCAATGCTGGCTGGCCTGGTTTTTTATTGTCTACAACTGGACTTGTTTGTTCAAATTTGGGAACTAATCGTTTCACAATTGTTTCATTCGGGGCGTTCCTTCTGCCGAAAATTCCAATAATTTGCGCACAGTCTCAGTTACACACTCTCCGTACTTGCATTGAATTCAACGTGTTTACTACAACATGTAACCCTGCACAATGCTGCCAACTATTCGCAATGAAAAAGGTGCATAATTCAAATCCTACGTTATTTTTGGAACACCCTTGACAATGAATGTTATCAATAAATAAGTATGAATATGAGGGTAATTATGAGTATGTACCGAATTGGATACTCACTTTACTTCGACATTAAACGACCTGTAACTTTATTCAGATTGTTTCAAACTAAAAACTTTATACGAAGGACCCTTAAGACTTACCAGGGGCTTAATCATTTTATTTTTCCACTTATATTCAAAACGCCCTTTATGAGGGACAAAGGGAATTACTTACCGCTCATGAAGTTGTATATGATGGGGTTGACTGCGCTGTTGGCGTAGCACAGCCAGTGAGAGATGAGCGAGAAGGCGCGGTTCACCTCGCTGTTCGTCAGCTTCACCGTCAGCCTGGAACAAGGTATCAAACTTAGTTATCCTTCAGCAGTTGAATGAACATATCCAGGATTTATTAAGGAACGAAGAAGGGATGCGGATAATGTATTTGGGTGATGTAGTTAACAGGGGATGTTAATTGTTATTGCATTAGGCATCTGGGAATGATCTATCTACAGCTATTGTTTGGCTGAGATTGCCGTCACAAGGGAAACTTAGAATACAGATCTCAATGTAGCCTTGAGTACCCATCAATGGTGTTACTTAGAATTCTTGGAAATATTTGTAGATGTTGCTCATTTAGAATCAATATGGTAGTTTTTAACTAACGATGTGAGAAACAATTACTCCACAATTAGTCCATTTATTAATTAACAGAGTAGTTAGAATACCATATTTGATATTGTTAAAATTATGTACAGCGATTATTCCTAAACGGAACTTAGGTAATGTACTTTTAAATGATTTTTAAAGTTCATGGGTTTGGAGTTTATGGGTTAAAGGGAGGTCTATCGTTAAGTGTTTATAGGCTTATGGGTTTATGGGATTAGGTGTTTTGGGCTTAGGGTTTACCTCTTTTGCGCGTAAATGTATTTCCAGATTAATATAATGCGTAAAATATCGGCCATATATCGAAATTTTAGACAATTTTTTAACCCATTACTGGCTAAAACAAGAAAAACACATTTTTTAATGATTTTTTTTTATTAAAGTATATTCAAAACACATACATTAAGACTAATTTACTATTGAAAAAAATCATAAACAGTATTTTGAAAAAAAAACACGTAGGTGCGTATACGCACCTTTGGCTGAAAACAGAAAATTAATAAAAGTAAATTAGTTTTTTATGTGAAAATTTTCAAAGTAAGCTGGATGCAAATGCACTTTACACAAATAAATAGTATTATTTTTACGAAATCGACACTTTTTCCTTGCACTATTAACCTGTCTATAATATAATATGTCCGATATTGTCAAATTTGACTTCACCTGGTAGAGCGGATTGAGAGGGTCTTCCATGGGTTCAGTTGAATACTGCGGTATTTGAAGCGACATCACTGTTTTCTGTATCTAAAGAGAGTGTTAAATCCGAAAGAAATTTTAGGTGAGATTTCGTTGTGTGCACATTGTAAAGTGCATTTGCATCCAGCTTACTTTGAACATTTTCACATAAAAAAACTAAAAACGTCATCTTCCAAATCATCATCACTATCTATACTTGGTTGCATTTCATACGTTCCTGCATTATCCGTCTGCAATCCCTCTTCTCCAATAATATTTTCATCAAAGTTTACCTCATCCCTAATTTCATCTGTTTCTGGCGGCACATAAAAAACATCACCAATTCAGCATTTTCACAATCTGAATCCTCTTCTAACAAAGCAAGTAACTCTTTAGTGGTTAGTGCCCTTTTCATTTTCTATTTTGACAAATGACTGCAATAATATAAACAAAATTATACCTGTATAGCTTCTATACAACTCAAAAATCTCTTACATATTGGCACTAGATGTATCCAAAAAATAACTATTATGCATTACAAAAAACTTTTTTTTACACAAAGGAAAACCAAGAAGTACACTCTGCTAATAATGAACTGATATACCTATGTTCTGACTAGTCCTGTATTATATATGCCAATATTTGTCCAGACTTGCATAGGAGTGAATAAATATGTCAATTGTTATCGGCCAAAAGTGCGCATACGCATCCACTACATATATGTTTCATTATGACCATCATTTAAAAAAAAAGTAAAAAAAATTACATGAGTATCAAAATAGATCTTTTATTTACGCCTGGTTCAAAAAAAAATAGTCTGCTCATTTTTACTAACTTAGAACAATATTTGTTTGAAAATGTGTTTTAAAGTTTTAAATATCGTATTTTCTTAAAAAAAAAATAATATTAAAACAATATTATTTTTAATTAAATAAAAATACTAGTACACTATCTGGACTGTTGACATAAGATTCTGTAGGTAGGAAAAAATAGAATTTTACGGATGATCTCAAAAAAAAATTAAAATAAAAGGGTGCGTTTACGCGCCTTTGGCCGCTAATGGGTTAACGTTTATTGCAAAATTTGACGTGATAAGTGTATTTTGGAGTTCAGCTTCATGATCAGCGACCCCAGGAACATGTAAGATACATACTTCCGGGTGCCAATTTAGGTTTGTGGTACTGTATTGTCAGTATATTCAAAAATCGAAAAATAAGTCAAGCGATTTCTCAAAGACGAAAAATATATCGGCATAAATCCTAGTGTATGTATAGTACTTTAAGACCCCATTAATGGTTTTAGCAAAAAATTTACCTATCAATGTAACATAACCCAAACATGTCAAAAAACCGCGATTTTCGCAGTTTTAGGTAAAAATGTCTCGAAAATCAATTGAGAAATTTGGACTTCGGATTCGAATTCAGCACACCAAAATCCTTCGGAAAAGTACATTCTGGTTTCTGGCTTAGGGGGCCGGCCACATTTTTTTTAGACATCAATTATGGATAATAATAATAATAATAACAATAACAATAACAATAACAATAACAATAACAATAACAATAACAATAACAATAACAATAACAATAACAATAACAATAACAANNNNAATAATAATAATAATATCTCTACTCCTCATTCTAACTACGAGAATTAGCCCAGAAGTCGGAGACTTGTGCGGGAGAGGAGGCGGCATATTATTATTACGCAGGCCGCATTTGCGCCCAGGAACGACTTATGTTGGTAGGCCCTAACCATCATTCAGTGCAGGAATGAGAGAAACCTGGAAAACCTCATTAATTAGGGGGGTGGTCAAATTTTTGAGTCATCAGTGATGTCCATTGGCTCTCGCGTTCGGGTGGTCAAATGCCAACCGGTGTCAATCTCTCACATTGACCCAAGCCAACATTGTTCCACCCTACCATACCTGCACAGAGGGTGCCAGTCCTCCGTACAAGCATAGCTAATTTACGGTCTACAGGCCGCGGGAATCGAACCCGGGCAGAATTAGCACACATCGATTTAAGTACTGACTCCTTAAGCCGTGCGGCTATCGACCGATTGGAAGATGTGCCGTTATTACTCAGAGCTAACATGTGATTTATGCATGATGGCGCTCTATCACATTTCTCTATAAATGTCTGGAAGTATCTGAACCAAAGATTCCTTCGTCGATGGATTGGTAGAGGGGATAATGTTCCTGTTAACTGGCCTGTACGTTCACCAGACTTAACACCTTGCGACTATTATCTTTGGGGTACTCTGAAAACATCCAACACTGAACTGAGTTGTGGAGTCATGTCCAAAATTCCATAAATGTTTTAAAAAATAGCCCTTAAGAACTGCAAAGGGTGTCCTTTAACTTTCTTCGCCGAATTAACCTTTGCTGTAGAAACAACGGTGGTCATTTTGAACAGTTTTTATAATAAGTTGTAATAACCTCAACTTTGTTACTTTTATCTCCGGCATTTTTTATTGTATTTGATTGTTTTTACAATTTTTTTCAATAAAATTAGGCACGTTGTAAATAACTGTAATTCGTCTTATGTGTGTATCCATATTGAAAAATGAAGTAACATGTGGTATATTTTGTCGTAGTAAACACTCATTAAGAATTGGCCGATACAATGATTTAAAGATCAAACTGAAATTGCAGTCAACCTACAAAATCAGTGACTACTAGCACGGCAAGATAATATAGACATTTAAAAAATATTTTTTTGTACCCAAACCGCTCATTTAATCAAAATTCTATGAGAGACCCAAAAACTTCCAAATGGTATCACCTATCAAATAAAAAATAGTTGTGATTATTGACCGAAAGAGGAAAAAGTTATGAATGGATATTATCACCATACATGAATTTTGTAGGAGTTTTTTTGTTTTAAAAAAACCTCTCTAGCCTCTTCTAGTCCGCACGGGCTATAGAAGTTTGGTTTGCTTACTTGCTTACTGGCAAAGCTAAAATTATTAAAAGAACAGTCCTAATTAGTATACAAAAATTTAACACGAGGTTTTATAATCTTTTTAAAATGCCTTACAAAATGCTTAAAATTTGAATACAACTAAATTAATATAAATGCATACCTTTTGCATGATGTTTGCTGCACAATTTTATCAGAAAATATGGAAAAATGTGCTCTATACGTATAGCGTGGAATCTTGCCAAAGGTTCGAGTTAAAAATGTCGGAGAACTCCCTCCACCTAATTTTATACGGTAACTGTATAACAGTAATACCAATTTTCATTTCCGCTCTGGCCTCGAATTATATTTAAAATTCCGCGGTAAACGCATATAGACAGGTGATGGTCCCATTTTAAATGATAATTTATGATTATATCCAGATACATTTTTTCAGTTCGATTGTGAATATTACGGTGTTCCTGCTGACCTGAAGTACATAAAAATATTTTAAGTTCTTAGTTGGATATGTAAATGAAAAAAAAAAAGATTTTTTTAAAGTTAACTGTTAGCATTAGAGGAAATGAACCCTAAAATTTGCTGGAAATAATTTTGTGCAATGTGCTTTAAGTCAGTCCAAGCGTTTCCAGAATAATAGGTGACTGTCGTCTGCAAAGAAAATCACCTTACCATTCAGTGGTAATGAAAATAAATCGTTTACATAAATTGTAAACAACACCAGTCCCAAAACAGAACCCTGCGGAACCCCAGAGTGAACTGTATTATTTTTACTAAAATTATTATTTATATTAACACTGTTTTGTGTTCATCAAGTAACTTTCACCTAATTAAATTGTAACAAGGTTCTCTAAAATCCATGTTTTCTCCTGTAAATTTGCGTGACATATAATATAATTTTTCGTATTACCATACAAAACTCTAAGTAGATATAATAGGCGGTTTCTGGATCAGGAAGTGACGTCACATGGCCAGTGTCTATCGAGTTCGGCGCGCTTCTTCAGCGACTTCTTGTGGGCATTGTCGTTGTGCAAGAGATGCGTGGGTGTTGGCATGCAAGAAGTGTCATGGCGGCACGGGGGTGGCTACCTGAGGAGGTTGAGGGCAGGTCG